TCACCAAGATAATGGTCAAGGTCTGGTAGTAATGTCACCAAGATAATGGTCAAGGTGTGGTAGTAATGTCACCAAGATAATGGTCAAGGTGTGGTAGTAATGTCACCAAGATAATGGTCAAGGTGTGGTAGTAATGTCACCAAGATAATGGTCAAGGTCTGGTAGTAATGTCACCAAGATAATGGTCAAGGTCTGGTAGTAATGTCACCAAGATAATGGTCAAGGTGTGGGAGTAATGTCACCAAGATAATGGTCAAGGTGTGTGGGAGCACGTCACCAAGATAATGCAGGTCAAGGTGTGGGAGTAATGTCACCAAGATAATGGTCAAGGGTCTGGTAGTAATGTCACCAAGATAATGGTTATGCGGGAGTAATGTCACCAAGATAATGGTCAGGGTCTGGTAGTAATGTCACCAAGATAATGGTTAAGGTGTGGGAGTAATGTCACCAAGATAATGGTCAAGGTGTGGTTGTAATATCACCAAGATAATGGTCAAGGTCTGGTAGTAATGTCACCAAGATAATGGTCAAGGTGTGGGAGTAATGTCACCAAGATAATGGTCAAGGTGTGGAAGTAATGTCACCAAGATAATGGTCAAGGTCTGGTTGTAATGTCACCAAGATAATGGTCAAGGTGTGGTTGTAATTTCACCAATATAATGGTCAAGGTGTGGAAGTAATGTCACCAAGATAATGGTCAAGGTCTGGTTGTAATGTCACCAAGATAATGGTCAAGGTGTGGGAGTAATGTCACCAAGATAATGGTCAAGGTGTGGGAGTAATGTCACCAAGATAATGGTCAAGGTGTGGAAGTAATGTCACCAAGATAATGGTCAAGGTCTGGTTGTAATGTCACCAAGATAATGGTCAAGGTGTGGGAGTAATGTCACCAAGATAATGGTCAAGGTGTGGTAGTAATGTCACCAAGATAATGGTCAAGGTGTGGTTGTAATATCACCAAGATAATGGTCAAGGTCTGGTAGTAATGTCACCAAGATAATGGTCAAGGTGGAGTAATGTCACCAAGATAATGGTCAAGGTGTGGAAGTAATGTCACCAAGATAATGGTCAAGGTGTGTGGTAGTAATGTCACCAAGATAATGGTCAAGGTGTGGTTGTAATGTCACCAAGATAATGGTCAAGGTGTGGGAGTAATGTCACCAAGATAATGGTCAAGGTGTGGGAGTAATGTCACCAAGATAATGGTCAAGGTGTGGGAGTAATGTCACCAAGATAATGGTCAAGGTGTGGGAGTAATGTCACCAGGATAATGGTCAAGGTCTGGTTGTAATGTCACCAAGATAATGATCAAGGTGTGGTTGTAATGTCACCAAGATAATGGTCAAGGTGTGGTAGTAATGTCACCAATATAATGGTCAAGGTGTGGTAGTAATGTCACCAAGATAATGGTCTAGGTCTGGTAGTAGTGTCTCCTAGATAATGGTCAAGGTGTGGTAGTAATGTCACAAAAATAATGGTCAAGGTGTAGAAGTTATGTCATCCTGATAGTGGCAGCTCACCCTCGAAGCCCAGGAGCGCGGCGGAGGAGGAGGACGACCCCATAACATTGAAGGCCTCGCAGGTGTAGGTGCCGAGGCAACAGGTGCCGTCCTCCCCGCTGATAATCCTGTGTATGTCGCCGGGCTGCAGCTCTGTACCGTCCTTGTACCACTTAAGCACCGGCTGAGGTACGCCGATCACCTAAAATACACCGTAAGGGTGAGACAACATCTAACCACGAAAATACATATACGAAGCATAATGTTGACCTGGCTGAGCCTCTGTAACTCTACTGTAAGGAATGTGATGATATCTTAATGTGTTAAAATACTTCCCAGCAGGAGTATAGTATTAGTCTAGTACGGTACTCAGATGCCCGGTACACTTTTATACGAAATTTAAGGCTATTTGGTTTATTATCTCAAGCTTATTACTATTTTACACTTCATTAATTGCTTGCCCAAAGGCTACTTATTTCTACACCAATATCACACCAGAGGAAAGTGAAAAATAGAAACATGTAGAAAATGCTAATAAATTTGTTTTATAAATTATTGAATATTTCTCCTTTTACTGCCAATAACTCATAAATGTTTAATATGTAAACTGTATAACAACCATTTTCCACAGTACAGTTTGACTACATGTTGAAGTTTGTAAGACAGTAATATATTTAGTGGGACAGCAGAAGTCTCACCTTACACTCCAGGTTGACAGTTCCCTCTTGGGAGAGCACCGCCCTCAGGGGCTCCAGGAAGACGGGTTTCTTGTAGTGTCGAGGAATGACAAGCTTGACCGACGCTGCCGTGACGCTGTGACCGTAGTCGTTGCTGGCCACACACTTCCACTCTCCCTGGCAGGTCAATAAGACAAGATGAAATCAACGCGAATTTTACCATGAACATTTTCTTAAGCTCACTAATTGGAGGAAGTGTGAAAAGGTCATTTGAGGGTTTAAATATTTTCTTGAAATAATTACATAAGAAGTTTGGCTTCTCTCTGGTTTTGAAATCGTTGTAAGAAAAAAAACGCCAGAAGCCGCCCTGAATGATGTGCAGCCATGTTCAGTGTTTGTTAATAGTCTTATGTTCATCAAAACCTTCAAAGAAAACTTAATGGAACCACCTAATGGTACAGCAGAGAGAGAGACCCACCTGATCAGTGACCTCGAGGCAGGACACATCCAGGTTGAACACACCGGGGTCGTTGTGAGAGAGGTGGTACTTGGAGGACTCAGCAACGATCTCGTCCTCATGGTACCACGTCACAACAGGGGTAGGCGTCACCGTCACTATCGTCACAGAGGCGACAAAGGTGAACAGTAATGCTAAGAACTAATGCCCAAGGGCAACATCCCATCACATAATACAGTATCATCGCTAATAATGTTCAAACCTATACCATCAATACAAACACCATAACATCAACAAGATTCAATACATCAACACTAAATACCTCCACTGTATCATATATAACTCAGTATGACCTACATTTTTAACACATCACTAATGACATTCCTTGATCATCACAACAACAACAACAAAAACAGTAGAATTTTACTATCAACAACACAGCTCTTACATGACTATTAAAATCTTCTATCCACATAATGGTCATCAAAAGCTCTAGCGAGGATATCTGCTATACAGTCTTAATAGATGTTATGTCATGTAGGACCATTTTATAAAAAGGTCAGATATTGATAAACAAGATCAGATATTTCCAACACAGCTTTACAAGTTATCAGCGTGAGGTAGTCTGAGTTTGTATAACAAGAAGAAGGAGGGAGGTGGTGAAGCGAGGTACAGTACAGGTTGACGGGGAGGTGGTGAAGCGAGGTACAGTACAGGTTGATGGGGAGGTGGTGAAGCGAGGTATAGTACAGTTGACGGGGAGGTGGTGAAGCGAGGTATAGTACAGGTTGACGGGGAGGTGGTGAAGAGGTACAGTACAGGTTGACGGGGAGGTGGTGAAGCGAGGTACAGTACAGGTTGACGGGGAGGTGGTGAAGCGAGGTACAGTACAGGTTGACGGGGAGGTGGTGAAGCGAGGTACAGTACAGGTTGACGGGTAGGTGGTGAAGCGAGGTACAGTACAGGTTGACGGGGAGGTGGTGAAGCGAGGTATAGTACAGATTGATATGGAGGTGAAGTTAAGTACAGGTTAACTGGAGGTGCAGAAGGAGGAGACTTACCCTGCACCGTCAGCTTGATGGGGTCACCGATCTTGACGTCTCTGCTCTTCAGTCCCTGGATGAACCTGTACACAAGACAAGTTGAGTTACACAATAGGTACTGCCTCTTATGTGTATTGCTGCACTTGAATAGTAGTAGTATTTACTTATCTTAATGTATTAAAAGTAACTCCTGCTACTTATATTGACAAAAGTTGACAATCATATACTGTACAAATGTTCCACCAAGAAACTCCTGCTCAATACCATCACAATCTGCCAGTCTTTCCCTCATATTGTTGTACATGTACAAGATATGTATTTTACTATGGTACTCCTGCTATACTTTATAAACCTCACATGTTCAATATATGTCCCCCCCCCTAGCTAAGGTGATCCTCCATTAGGTGGCAGCACCTACCTGGGTGGAATATTGGTGGCGAGAAGCTGTTCCTTCTCCTCCTCGTTCAAGTGGGATTTAATATCTTCAAGTGTGAGCTCGGCCGTGGACTGGGCCTCACCCATACAGTTCCTGGCGATACAGGAATACTTGCCTGAAAGAAATATCATATTTAGAGAGAAACCATCAGGCGTCCCGGACATCTCTCACTAGGGACATCCTCTAAACTCAGTCTAAAGCCATGACACGGTGGGTGAGGAGGCATTTTTAGCATTTTTTATTGTATTTTATCTTTCTTTTCAGCTTGGGCTCTAAAATTCATGGCGCCTAGACCCACAAGAACAGGTTAAAAAACAGATGTGGTTGGTCCCTGCCTACGCGTATTATGACTCAGTATCCATGTTTACCTTCAACACCAAGTAACACAGTAAAAACATTATTCTTACCCAAGGAATTGGTGCCGGACAGTTGGTAAACATCGCCAGGTTTCAGCTCCTGGCCATCCTTGAACCACTGTAAGATAGGGGTCGGGTAGCCTACCACCTTACACTCGAACGACACCAACCCCTCCTCTGTCAGTAACGCCCTCAGGTTGTCCAAGAACCGGGGCGAGCGATAATTTCGGGGAACTAGCGGAAAAAAATATCATCATCAGACACTCGGGAATAAATGTTATGTTAACATCTAAAGTAAACATCTATCAACTATTAAAACTAAACACTGACAGAAGGCGATGTTTGCTCCGGCCGTAACTCAGGTAAAAATATCAAATTACTGGAATTATCAATCCTCAAGAGTCATATGAACTAGATAAAGCCAGACGTGTACAGCACTACTGACCTGTTAAAGTTATTTTACAGGTTGAGGAAGTATAACCTCCGTCATTTTTAATAACGGCCTTCCACTCTCCGTCGTCACCTATCTCGGTGGGGTGGATCTCCAGCATGTGTCGCCCCCCGCCCTCGTCACTTAAGCGGTACTTATCACTCGCCTCTATCTTCCTCCCGTTGTTGTACCACGTTACTGACATCACTTCCGGTGGCATCTCCACTGTGGGTTAGTTTAGTGTCAGCTGATAAAAAAGGCAAGTCTGGTAAGTGCTGACGCCCTTGTCAAGGCTTATGGGAGGTAACGCCATGTTCACGGAGGGCCCACAGGTACAGTACAGAGTTAGCTAAAGCCATGGGTAGGTTTAACGTGTACTGAAATTAGACACAGAGCGCTACCTTTAGTGTGGCTATATGTCTCCCTGTCTGTGGTGTGCGAGACAAGAACATCTGAGTTTAGTCTGCCTGCGCTGCTGCCACGCTTAAAATGAATGTATTAAACTATTTGTTTATTTGAGGTAAATCCTGGCAACAGCTTATAATGTTTTATTTTATAACGTATAGAGTTGTTATTGATATAGCCTTATGAATCTGTTCACTATAACAACAATATAAATAACACAAGGCTGAACTAACAAGTATTAGTAATTCCTCCGACAAAAATGATGGCTGCATAAAACATTATATATATATATATATATATATATATATATATATATATATATATATATATATATATATATATATATATATATATATATATATATATATATATATATATATATATATATATATATATATAAATCATCTGAATTTACTGAACATTTATTTCTCTAAGCAATATTAAAATAAAATCAACTCACAGTTTCCCAGATCATTACCTTTAACACTTAACCTGGCCTTGTCGCCCACTTTAACCTTACGGTCCGACAGCTGGTCGATGAGTGCCGGCGGGGGACCCATGGGTGTCGGGGACCTACGATCTTTCCTGTAGGAGAATGTGTATCGTTATCAGCCGCACACACACACGTCTCTTACTTCAACAATATACTACGACCGTTTAATGATCAAAAGTAAATGTATTTTACGATATATATATATATATATATATATATATATATATATATATATATATATATATATATATATATATATATATATATATATATATACACACACATCAAGGTATATTCAAATCACTGTATATCTGTAAAAGGGAAAAATATATAACTATATCATTTGTATACAGTAATCATTTTTACTAGTCCTTATAAGTAACACTACCTTCCTTCATCTCTGCTACACTGCCATCCTGGGTAACCTTCACACATCTCTGCTACTGCCATCCTGGGTCAACCTTTCACACATCTCTGCTACACTGCCATCCTGGGTAACCTTTCACACATCTCTGCTACACTGCCATCCTGGGTAACCTTTCACACATCTCTGCTACACCATCCTGGGTAGCTTTACATCTCTGCTACACTGCCATCCTGGGTAACCTTTCACACATCTCCTGGGTAACCTTTCACACATCTCTGCTACACCGCCATCCTGGGTAACCTTTCACACATCTCTGCTACACTGCCATCCTGGGTAACCTTTCACACATCTGCTACACCGCCATCCTGGGTAACCTTTCACACATCTCTGCTACACCGCCATCCTGGGTAACCTTTCACACATCTCTGCTACACCGCCATCCTGGGTAACCTTTCACACATCTCTGCTACACCGCCATCCTTGGTAACCTTTCACACATCTCTGCTACACTGCCATCCTGGGTAACCTTTCACACATCTCTGCTACACCGCCATCCTGGGTAACCTTTCACACATCTCTGCTACACCGCCATCCTGGGTAACCTTTCACACATCTCTGCTACACACATGCCATCCTGGGTAACCTTTCACACATCTCTGCTACACCTGCCATCCTGGGTAACCTTTCACACATCTCTGCTACACACTGCCATCCTGGGTAACCTTTCACACATCTCTGCTACACCGCCATCCTGGGTAACCTTTCACACATCTCTGCTACCTGCCATCCTGGGTAACCTTTCACATCTCTCTGCTGGGTAACCTTTCACACACTCTGCCAGTGCTTTACACATCTCTGCTACACTACCATCCTGGGTAACCTTTCACACATCTCTCTGCTACACTACCATCCTGGGTAACCTTTCACACATCTGCTACACTGCCATCCTGGTAACCTTTCACACATCTCTGCTACCTGCCATCCTGGGTAACCTTTCACACATCTCTGCTACACCGCCATCCTGGGTAACCTTTCACACATCTCTGCTACACTACCATCCTGGGTAACCTTTCACACATCTCTGCTACACCGCCATCCTGGGTAACCTTTCACACATCTCTGCTACACTGCCATCCTGGGTAACCTTTCACACATCTCGGTTACACTGCCATCCTGGGTAACCTTTCACACATCTCTGCTACACCGCCATCCTGGGTAACCTTTCATACATCTCTGCTACACCGCCATCCTGGGTAACCTTTCACACATCTCGGTTACACCGCCATCCTGGGTAACCTTTCACACATCTCGGTTACACTGCCATCCTGGGTAACCTTTCACACATCTCTGCTACACCGCCATCCTGGACCACCATTATAATATTAGGACTTTTTTTTTTCAATTCCAAACTCTCGATCCTGACAATTTACATTATCGATACTTCACAGTCTCCCTGGACCATTTCCTCGATCAACAGACCAACTCTTTCTCTCGCTATCAACCTCAGGCAACTTTCCCTCCCAACACATCCCTTACCTGGACGGAGGTCTGAGAGAGGGTTCTCTGGACATGACCCTGACTCTGGAGGAGGATACAGCACAGCCCATACAGTTGACGGCCTCGCAGGTGTACGTCCCCAGAGAGGTGGGGTCGTCGGCGTTGGCAGTGAGCGCGAACACATCTCCTGAAGGTGTGTGAGGGAGAACTCGGGTTAGTGCTTCTGTGTAACTCAGATGAGTCTACACACTACCACAACTCCTCTACAATACTCACTACCACAAAACTTTCTGGAATTCTGACAAGATTATAAGAAATTCAAGAACATTGATGAATTTTAAATACAACTACATATAACACGAAAATTAAAGCAGACATTTGTGATGCCTAGGACAGTATTGATTCAGGTAGGATCAAAGTGCCGACAGTCTTATCAAACAGCGCCAAGTTTTTTCTTACCAGCTTTGATTTCGACACCATCTTTGTACCACTTGAGGACAGGTGTGGGTACCCCGACCACCTTACACTCGAGGCTGACGGTGCCCTCAGAGGTGAGAAGCGCCTCCAGCTCGTCCAGGAACACGGGTTTCTTGTATCCCTTGGGGACTGTGAAAAGGACACCAGTGCATCAACCAAGAATAGTCTCAGCATAAGAGAAGTGAATGACTGTGAACACTTAATACTGACATAAGGTTCATAATTATACAATTGGTGACAATTATATGCTGCTCTAACGCTTCTTTATTAAGTTATTTCCACATTATACAAAAGTATCTTCTAACAACAAGTAAATGTTTGCCAAGTAACTAATGAGAAAATCAACGTTGCCCAGAGAGGGGACAGTGACAAGAGGTGAGACTACATAATGTGACGACTGACCAATGACCCTGAGGGAGGCGCTACTGGAGGCCTGGCCGGAAGAGTTTTCGGCGACACACTTCCAGGGTCCCTCGTCCGCCACGCTGAGGGGGGAGATGTCCACACAGAAGAAGTTGCCTTCGTGCAGTACCCGGTATCTCGAGTCCTGCGACACCTCCACATTGTTGTGGTACCAGTAGACCTGCAGCACCACACAACACCTCAACACACGTACCACCACACTATTAACAGGGAACGCTTAATAATGGTACACTTCATCATGGACAAGGAACCAATTTTGAGGATCACTTAGAAAAACAAATACAGTAAAGGTGCTGGTAACAATATGTATTTTGAAACTCGCGTCAAATTAGTAATGAAATCCTCGTTTACAGTGGAGTCTTAAAAAGAGAGGAGCCTAACTTACAGGGGAACATCACATACAGGGGGAACCTCCACACAGGAGTCTCACCTTAACATCGTGTGCTTGACGGAGCTCCACCAGGAACCGGACTCGGGTGCCCACTTTAGCTGCCAGGTCACTCAAGCTCCTGACGAAGGTAGGAGCCTCCAGCCTGGTGGGGGTGCTCTGACTCACTACCTGCAGGGCCACCGCCGCCCGCGCCTACACCAGGAAACATGTTACAGATCAGTGTTGGCCTCATCAAACCCATCAACACCTTGCCAGACTTACCACCTTACACTATTATGGACTCATAGCACAGTTTGTCATTGACGTCACACACTTGTGGGCGGAGCTTCTGGGCGACCACGTGGTAGCATGCGGAGGTCAAACAAAGCGCTATTTACCTGTTACTCTTGATAACAAATTCAAATAACTGCTGCTACAATTATTATAATACTCATTAAAAGATGTAGAACAAAATACACTAAAATAAAACAGCTGTCAGCATATGAACTATATATTTATATTAAGATGTTTGTCCTCACCTGCCTTGTTCTGCTCATCAATACTCAAGAGTTTTGGCTAAATATTTTTAAGCAGAATCCCAAGAAAGAACTTATAAGAGGCAGGAGACCATAAAGGACATGTTTTGTGTACTGTCAATCATTCAACAATCTGGGGAAACTACAGCAACTTGAGTGGTGAAATGGACATGTTTTATGACTACCTCATCTACCCTAACCTACCCTACCCTCTCCATAAACCCTACCCATAAGCCCTACCCAGTCCACTCAACACTGGCCTGCATTTCCCACTTCAGACAACTTGACCTGCCTTGCCTAACCCTGTACTGCCAACCCGTGAGCCCAGATCTGTCCCGTCACACCAAGGTGCCGTCACAGTATCAGGGTGCAATCACAGTATCAGGGTGCCATCACAGTACCAGGGTGCCATCACAGTACCAGGGTGCCATCACAGTATCAGGGTGCCATCACAGTACCAGGGTGCCATGTGCCGTCACAGTATCAGGTGTGTCACAGCATCAGGGTGCCATCACAGCCATAACAGTACCGGGGGTGCCATCACACACAGGGGTGCCATCACAGCCCAGGTGCTTTTCTGTGCCAGGTGCCTTCTCAACGTGGTGTCCTTAACGTGCCAGGGTGCCATAACAGTACCAGGTGCCATAACATTACCAGGGTGCCATATTATTGCCATGGTGCCACTACCAGGGTGCCATCACCGTACCAGGGTGCCATCACAGTACCAGGGTGCCATCACAGTACCAGGGTGCCATAATAGTACCATGGTGCCATAACAGTACCAGGGTGCCATCACAGTACCAGGGTGCCATCACAGTACCAGGGTGCCATCACAGTACCAGGGTGCCATCACAGTACCAGGGTGCCATCACAGTACCAGGGTGCTTTCACAGTACTTGGGTGCCATCTCAGTACCTGGGTGCCATCGTGCCTGGTGACGACGGCGGTGTAGGTGCCAGAGTCGTGAGAGGTGGCACCATGGATGACGAGCTGTGCCACTTGTTGTGTTTCTGTGGTGGTGTAGTGAGGTCCGGCTGTTACCTCACGACCACCCTTCTGCCTGTAAGAGTAATGTAAGAGTTAATACTGATACTACATTACTGATAATAATAATAATAATAATACTACAAGAGAAGCCAGTATAACACCAACACACTATTACTCGGCAATATACAAAGTGCCTCTACGTACAGTATATTCTCTGGTGTTGTATTACCGCAAAGTTACAACACTACAAATACATTCACAATAATACAACATATTTCCTTTTACGAATAAATAAAATGTTGTGAATATTATGAGTAATGACCGTAGACTGTGTGTGTGTGTGTGTGTGTGTGTGTGTGTGTGTGTGCCACCCATGACTGTCATTAACGATAATTTAATACCGACCAAAGTGAAAATAAAACCATGAGCAACAAAAATTTATGTTGGAGGATCAGGGGGTTGAGGGGGTGAGGGGAGAGAAGAGGGGTGAAGAGAGAGGAGAGGGGTGAAGGGGGAAGAGGAGGGAGAGAAGGGGGTGAGGGGAGGGGGAGGGGGGAGAGGGGAAGGGGAGAGAAAGGGGTGAGGAGAAGGAAGGGGAGAGAAGGGGGTGAAGGAGAGAAGGGGGTGGTGAGGAGGAGAGAAGGGGTGAAGGAGGGGGTGAGGGGAGAGAAGAGAGGGGGAGAGAAGAGGGGTGAAGGGGAGAAGGGGTGAGGGGGAGAGAAGAGGGGTGAAGGGGAGAGAAGGGGGTGAGGGGGGAGAGAAGGGAGAGAAGGGGGTGAAGGGAGAAGGGGGTGAAGGGGGAGAAGGGGTGAAGGGGAGAGAAGGGGTGAGGAGGGGGAGAGGGGGGTGAAGGGGGGGGGGAAGAGGAGAGAAGGGGGTGAAGGAGAGAGAGAAGGGGTGAGGGGGAGAGAAGGCAAGAGGAGAGAAGGGGGTGAGGGGAGAGAAGGGGGAAGGAGGAAGGGGTGAGGGGAGAGAAGGGGGTGGAGGAAGGGGGAGAGAGGGGGAGAGGAGAGAGGGGGGGTGAAGGGGGAGGAGAGAAGGGGTGAAAGAAAAGGGGGTGAAGGGGAGAAAAGGGGGGAGAGGGGAGAGAAGGGGGTGAAGGGGGAGGGGGAGAAGGGGGGGGGAGGGGGGAGAGAAGGGGGTGAGGGGAGAGAAGGGGGTGAGGGGGGGAGAGAAGGGAGGGGAGAGAAGGGGGTGAAGGGGAGAAAGGGGTGAAGGGGAGAGAGAGGGGGATGAGGGGTGAGGGGGAAGGAGAGAAGGGGTGAGGGGGAGAGAAGGGGGGAGGGGAGAGAAGGGGGTGAGAAAAGGAAGAAGGGGTGGGGTGAGGGAAAGGGAGAGAAGGGGGAGGGGAGAGGGGGTGAAGGGAGAGAAGGGGGGAGGGGAGAGAGAAGGAGAGAGGGAGAGAGAGAGAAGGGAGCAGATGAGAGGAGAGAAGGAGACGGGATGAGAGAGAAAGGGAGGGATGAGGAGAGAGAAAGGGAGGGGATGAGGGGGAGAGAAGGAGAGGGGATGAGGGACAGGGGAAAGAGGGAGACAGGGAGGTGAGGGGAAGAGGAGGGGGAGGTGAGGGGTAGAGGAGGGGTTCAGAGGGAGGGGGGAGAGGATGTCTGGCCTGACGCTTCTATATTTAACTGTAATGAATACATAAATAACGCCGTGTTGTGTTGACGTCACGGAGCGTCCTTGTGTGTATGTTTGTGTGTATCTCAGGCCACACCACCTGGCCACGGTGACACTGCCGAGAGAGGGAACAAATAATGCTTTACTTTTCTACACCTCATTTACTTTATCTCCCACACAAGGTCAAGTCTGGTCAACACATCCATCACTCACTGCCACTGCCGCCTTCCTCCACCCGCCCAACGTGACGTAAGTGGTGACGTAAGTGATGACGTCAATATCATAACCCAATCAACCAAGGTTATCGGGATTATTGTGGTCGGAAATACCACTCATTGGCCAACTGCGTCCACGAGGTGTCAACTGGTCAAAATATAGATTCTATGAAGGTCAATATGGCTAAAATATACACGAGGAAGGTCAACGTACTGAAATACACGCTGGTGAGGTCACTGTGGTCAATATGTAGACTGTTAAGGTCACAGTAATGTATCTTTTAGAGCCACATATAAAGCCACATCACCAGTACTTATAGAGCTACATCATCAGTACTTATAAAGAGACATCATCAGTACTTGTAGAGCCACATCACCAGCACTTACAAAGAGACATCACCAGTACTTGTAGAGCCACATCACCAGTACTTATAAAGAGACATCACCAGTACTTGTAGAGCCACATCACCAGCACTTACAAAGAGACATCACCAGTACTTGTAGAGCCACATCACCAGTACTTATAAAGAGACATCACCAGTACTTGTAGAGCCACATCACCAGTACTTATAAAGAGACACCACCAGTACTTGTAGACCCACATCACCAGTACTTATAAAGAGACATCACCAGTACTTGTAGAGCCACATCACCAGTACTTATAAAGAGACATCACCAGTACTTGTAGAGCCACATCACCAGTACTTATAAAGAGAGCCACATCACCAGTACTTATAAAGAGACATCACCAGTACTTGTAGAGCCACATCACCAGTACTTGTAGAGCCACATCACCAGTACTTATAAAGAGACATCACCAGTACTTGTAGACCCACATCACCAGTACTTATAAAGAGACATCACCAGTACTTGTAGACCCACATCACCAGTACTTATAAAGAGACATCACCAGTACTTGTAGACCCACATCACCAGTACTTATAAAGAGACATCACCAGTACTTGTAGAGCCACATCACCAGTACTTATAAAGAGACATCACCAGTACTTGTAGACCCACATCACCAGTACTTATAAAGAGACATCACCAGTACTTGTAGACCCACATCACCAGTACTTGTAGAGCCACGTCACCAGTACTTATAAAGAAACATCACCAGTACTTGTAGAGCCACATCACCAGCACTTATAAATAGACATCACCAGTACTTGCAGAGCCACATCACCAGTACTTGTAGATCCACATCACCAGTACTTGTAGACCCACATCACCAGTACTTATAAAGAGACATCACCAGTACTTGTAGAGCCACATCACCAGTACTTATAGATGCAGTACTTATAAAGAGAACATCACCAGTAATTTAGAGCCACATCACCAGTACTTATAAAGACATCACCAGTACTGTAGTATTGTAGACCCACATCACCCACATCACCACTGTAGAGCCACATCATCAGTACTGTAGAGCCAAATCACCAGTACTTATAAAGAAACATCACCAGTACTTGTAGAGCCACATCACCAGTAATTTTATAAAGAGGACATCACCAGTACTTAGAGCCACATCATCACAGTCACATCACTTATAAAGAGATTACCATCACCAGTACTTGTTGTAGAGCCACATCATCAGTACTGTAGAGCCAAATCACCAGTACTTATAAAGAAACATCACCAGTACTTTAGAGCCACATCACCAGTAATTTATAAAGAGACATCACCAGTACTTGTAGAGCCACATCACCAGTACTTATAAAGAGACATCACTCAGTACTGTAGAGCCAAATCACCAGTACTTATAAAGAAACATCACCAGTACTTGTAGAGTTTCACATCACCAGTATTATAAAGAGACATCACTAGTACTTTGTAGAGCCACATCACCAGTACTTCTAGAGCCACATCACCAGCATCAGAGCCACATCACCAGTACTTATAAAGAAACATCACCAGTACTTGTAGAGCCACATCACCAGTACTTATAAAGAGACATCACCAGTACTTGTAGAGCCACATCATCAGTACTTTAGAGCCACATACCAGTACTTATAAAGAGACATCACCAGTACTTATAGAGACATCACCAGTACTTGTAGAGCCACATCATCAGTACTTGTAGAGCCACATCACCAGCACTTATAAAGAGACATCACCAGTACTTGTAGAGCCACATCATCAGTACTCGTAGAGCCACATCACCAGTACTTATAAAGAGACATCACCAGTACTTATAGAGACATCACCAGTACTTGTAGAGCCACATCATCAGTACTCGTAGAGCCACATCACCAGCACTTATAAAGAGACATCACCAGTACTTGTAGAGCCACATCATCAGTACTTGTAGAGCCACATCACCAGTATTAAGAACCACTTCACAAGTATTTACAGAGTCACATCACAAGTACTTACAGAGTCATCACCAGTACTTATAGAGTCACATCACAAGTATTTATAGAGTCACATCACCAGTACTTATAGTCACATCACCAGTACTTGTAGACCCACATCACCAGTATTTGTAGAGCCACATCACCAGTACTTGTAGAGCCACATCACAAGTATTAAGAACCACTTCACAAGTATTTACAGAATCACATCACAAGTACTTACAGAGTCATATCACCAGTACTTATAGAGTCACATCACAAGTATTTATAGAGTCACATCACCAGTACTTATAGTCACATCACCAGTACTTGTAGAGCCACATCACCAGTACATTGAGCCACATCACCAGTACTTATTCACTGTAGAGCCCCATCGCCAGTACATATACAGCCACATCACCAGTACATATAGAGCAACTGCCCCCCTCCCCCTCTGTGGCGATGTGATTGTTCTGTTAAGTTTGTGTCTTTCGTCTGTGTGTGTGTGCGTGTGTGTGTGTGTGTGTGTGTGTGTGTGTGTGTGTGTGTGTGTGTGTGGTTTCTTCCTCCCTCACACACTGATCCCTTGAGTGTTGTGTGACCTGCCTGGTGTGGTGGACGATGGTCACTACCACACTACCACCACATTACCACCAATACCACCACACGACCACCACTACTTCCACACTACCATCACTACTATCACACTACCACCACTACTACCACACTACCACCACTACTACCACACTACCACCACTATTACCTTATCATCACCACTAATACTACACTACCCCTATCACCACTACTACTACACTAATTATCTGGACCGCCATTATTACCACACTACCTGCAACACCATCACTCCTACAACAACTACCTGCACTACTGTTACTGCAACAACTACC